TATTGCTGCTTAACAAATCATCCCCAAATTAACTGAAAACCACAATATGTTCTTTCTCATGACTCTTTGGGTTTATGGGGCTCAACTAGGTGGTTCTTCCACTCATCTCATTTGAGGTGTTTCATGTAGTTACATCAAATGGTGTCAGGAGGTGACACCATAATAGGGTTGAAAACTAATCCTCCCCTCCTTGCCTAGCAGACAGGTTTGGGAGGCTTGAATAGCTAAGGGAATTGATAAGGTTACCTTGGGGCCAAGACTGAAAAACTGACCACCATGACCAGAAAAACCAGCCCAGCTCCAGGAATGCAGAAGCAGAGGACATGTTTCTGTATCAAAGGCCGGTGCAAGAGACCAGAAATCCCAGCAGATAATTGGTGCAAACTGGTGCCCCAAGTTAGAAAGTCTACGAAAGCCAAGTATAAAAGACAGCCTCAAATACTCCTTCAGGGCCTCCCTGGTGGCGCAGCGGTTGAGCGCTGGGTTGCGAAGCGGCAGCCTCTGCAGCGCTGGTTCGATCCCCGGCTACTCCCCGGCCACCAGAGGAGGGTCCCACATGGCACGCAGACCTCTCCTGCCGCCCACCGCTCCCCTTAGTAGTGTACTTCGGTCCTTCTGCCTGCTCTGCTCCCCCTCTGGCTCTAGTGAGTTCGCTCACCCTCCCACGCTTCTGACTGTACCCAGTGCTTGTATAAATAAATAAATAATTAATTAATTAAAAAAAATACTCCTTCAGGCGCAGACTTTTGTCTCACCTACTACTTCTCTTAGCAGGGTATTTCAATAAATCTGCCTTTTCTGTTCTCTACTATCTCTGGTAAAATCTTTCACCCATGCCCCTCTGGCCTCATCCCAATATTACATCCCAATATTACAGGGTGGAACACACAAAATGGCTTCATTGACTTGTTAACTTGTATGGAGGGACAGCTAGAAGGTTCGACTCAGTTGGGCTGCTGGGAAGGCAGGACCTACTCCTCTTCGTGAAGCCTCAGGGCCTCTCCCTTTTCATATGGACTCTCCATCAGAGTAGCAGAACTTAGAAGGCTACTCAAGGACCCCAAGAATGCAAAAGGCTGTGGGCCGGAACTGGCACAGAATCACTTCTGCAGCATTCCATTAGCTAAAATGAGTCTCAAGCCCAGTTCATGGTGGGTGGGGACTAAAGACTTACTATCAGGAAGCATGGACCATTGGTCACCTTTACAGACTAGCTACTGCAGGTGATCCTGAGACACCAAACCCTTACAATCTTCCCATTACTTCACATCATAATGAGCAACCAGATACATGACTGAATATTCTGCCTTAGGTGGGTAATCCTGGCAGTGGAGAAGTCAGTTTGGAAAAATGGAAAATCAAAATTTTTGGGAAAGATCACTTTGTTGGTGAAGATTTGAAGCTAGGCAGGAGCAATGAACCCAGAAAATAGCCCAGGAGGAAGGAAAGGACAGTCTCTAACACTGCAGAGATGCCCATTTCAGTCAGAATTATGAAGTATCAGGGGAGGTTATTTTAGTAAAAAGATGGAGGTACCGAAGCCAAGGGAATATTTTTAATGTTTAAACTATATCCCCATCTAATCATAAGTTTTTATCTCACCAGTTGAACATGTTCTTCAGCTGCTTCTATAAAGTAGCAAACTGCTTCTGCAGAGCTCCTTTATACCCAGAGGACTCAAGTGTATCCAAAGTATGACTCATCTGGAATCATCCATTTTAGCATTTTTAATGTTTATAATGTTTAAGAGAATTTCACATGCTGAATAGATGAATTTTGCAGTTCCATTTTAAAATGTGGAGTAACTGATTCAGACTCAGGAGAAGTGGGTTTTTGTCTTTGTTTTTTAAGATTTATTTATTTATGTGCAGAACTGGAGTGCAGGCCAGAGATGCAGGGGGTGAGAGTGACAGGGGCCAGAGAGGGGGTGAGACACTAAGCTAGTATAGCAGGAAATCTGCACACACATATTATTTACGGCCTGTCTGCTCTACATCAATTTTCCAGCCCATCTGGAGGAGTGTGGAGAGCCAGTGCGATCTGAAGACCAGCCTCAGCACACTGGGAGGAGCCTGAGGCCAGGTGTCCAGAAGGGCAAAAAGGAGCACCAGGGCCTGGACATCACAGTCTCCTGGCAGCAGTGAAGGCCTGCTCACTGCTGAACTAGACAGTTCAGCACCAGTGAGTTGGGTCCCCTGCCGGCCTGGGAGCTGACCCAGGTGGTGCAGCAGACCCCTCCTGTCTTACTGGCTGTTCCCCTCAGCAGTTTATTTCAGTCAATCCACCTGTTCTGTTCCCCACTATCTCTGGTGAATCCTCTCCCACACACCCCCACCTTTGGCCTGTACCCCAGTTATTGTATACATAAATAAATAAATCTTTTGGGTTTTTTTCCCCAAAAAAGGCAGCTGGAAATGAAATGTTAAGGCGGTTTCTTTAGGATGTTAACAGCCCGCCCCCTTCCAGATTGCCAGCTATTTGATTAAAGCGCACTTTAAAGATTCAACTCCTGTCTCTACTTTATTGTCATTTAGTGGTGACAGGTGGCCTGAACTCCCATCTTCTAGTTACAAGACGATTCACCAGAGACAGAGTGGGAAGCAGAACAGACAGATCTGCTGAAATATGCGGCTGAGGGGAGCGGCAGGGAAGACAGGAGAGGTCTGCTGCGCCATGTGGGTCAGCTCCCTAGCCTGGGTTGGAACCCAGGTGACAGGTGACCCAGCACTGAGACATAATTCCTAGGCCACCAGGGAGGCCAAGTTCACATAGCAGAATTCGACCACTTTAGTACGCAATATTGAGATTATGAGATTTTAAGGTTAAGTGTCACATACCAAGCTTTAAGAGCGAGCTCAGTACTTGATTTTGTCCAGTGACTAAGAATAAATATATGTGCTTATCTGGATTTTAGTTATAAAAATCTCCTTTAAATGAGTTTTTAAATTTTAGCAGGATAAGTACTACTTAAAAATACTCGTTTGGGGCTTAAAATTCTATGATGAATTTTAAGTTTCGAAAAGCTATTTCAAAACAGTCGCCAGGGCGCCCAAATGCCGCCCTCCCGCGCGGGGAGCGGCTCAGCGCCCCGGGAGCTAAGCGGGTGCCAGAACTTGGGGCCACTCACCAGGGCGCGCAACACGTGGCCCCGCAGGCGCGCGGCTGGGGCGGGCGGGCAGCAGCGGCCATGGGGGGTGGGCTCGCACTGCTTTTCCACTTGAGTGCCTGCCCCCCTCATTTTTAAAAAATAATACACAACTTAAAGGCTCGAGCCAGACCCGGGGGGTCCCGTTTCCGGGAGGGCCGGCCCCGCGCGCCCAGGCCCCGCTCGGGTCCGGGTGAGGGACGGGCGCGCCCCCGGGGCTCCCGGGAGGGCGGTGGCCGCGGGCGGCGGGGGCGGCGGAGGCCCCGGGGCGAAGGGCGGGGTGCGGGCCTGAGGCTGCGGAAAGCGGACGCGGCAGCAGTTTGAGATGGAGGCCGCGGCCCGCGCGGAACCCCCGGACGTCACCGGGCGCTGCCGCCCGGAACAGACATAAAGGAGGCAGGCGGCTCTGACTACCGTCCCGAAGGCGCCTTTCCAGACGACCCTCGGCCCGCAGGCCCCGCCGCGTCCCCGGCAGCCGCGCCCGCCCACGCCGCCGCAGGAGCCGGAAAAGGCCGGCGCGCGGCGCTCGCGCCACCCGCGCGCTCTCCGGGCGACACCACCCCGGTCGACCCCTCTCGAGGCCCGGAATGGTACCGTCCTCGGCCCCTGATTGGCTGGCGGCGCGGGGGCGTGGCCTCCGGAGCCCGGTTCCGCGCGCCAGAGCCCGCTCTCCGCAGTGCGAGTCGGGCTGGGAGCGGACGCCATGGTGAGTGCAGGTTGCGGGATGCGGAGCAGGCCAAGGCCGCGGTGGAGGCCGAGGCCGCGGTGGAGGCCCCGGCTGGGCCCTGCGCCCGGTCCGGGGCCCGCCCTGGGAGCGGGGTCAAGGGAACGCAGGGATCTCAATTACGCTCACGCCCCGGCTCCCGTTCCAGGTGCTGCTGCACGTGCTGTTCGAGCACGCGGTCGGCTACGCGCTGCTGGCGCTGAAGGAGGTGGAGGAGATCAGTCTGCTGCTGCCGCAGGTGGGTGGGATCGGTGGGCTCCCCCGGCCGCGCAGCAGCCCCTCGGACCGCGCGGGCCCCAGCATGCACCGCGCGCTCCCACGTGGCCGACCGCGCGTTGGGGGGGGGGTGCCCTGAACCCGAAAGCTCCAGAGCCCGGGGTCCTTCATCCGATTCGTAATTAGAATCGCCATCGGAGAGTTTGGAAATAAGCCTCCAGGATCTGCCCGTATTGATGAGTCTAGGACTCATCGTTGGTTCGTTTTTCAGTGGTTCGGTTGGTCAGGTGCGGCCAGGGCCGAGAACCACTGCTTTACTCCACCCTAGAGGCAAGAGGCAGGGAAGGAAACCGCTCATCCTCTTACTGTCCCCCAGGTGGAGGAGTGCGTGCTCAGCTTGGGCAAGTTCCACAACATCGTTCGTCTCGTGGCCTTTTGTCCTTTTGCCTCATCCCAGGTTGCCTTAGAAAATGCCAATGCTGTGTCTGAAGGTGAGCCTGCTACCCGCACATGTTTTAGGGGAGAGGAGAGATTTAGTTCCTGCTAGGAAGCTTGTGGGTAGCATTTGCCTTTATTCAGCTACTCTGTTTAAAGTCTGATATGTGTTGGGAGATACTTGATACATACAGAATAGAATGTAAAATAGTTTTCACAGAGTTCATGGTTGTGGGAGGCTAAATGTTACAAATGTACAATCCAGAGAGTAGGCTTTATTTCCTTGTAGTCAATGTAGTGATGTGATTCATAAGTGAAGGGGTGGGGGTTTATGCTAAACCAAATCAAATGTGTGTCTCTGCTACTCTGTTCCGTTGATTAGAAAGGGAAGTTTTGATACAGGCAAGCCAAGAGAAAGGTTTGCACCTAAAAAACAACTTACTGGCCGGAGACCTATTCCTCCCATGGTTGATGCAGGCTTTGCAGTGATGACTTGATTCTGTCAATCCCCTGAGTGCAGTCTCTGATGTCACCATGTCTCTGAGCAAAGCCTGGAGGGAGGGGTCTGGGCAGGCCATCCCATCATGCTGTGCAGGGCCATTTTTTACTTGTCACTTAGTAAGCAGTTGAGGGAACAGGGTATTTTTTAGGATTTAAGCATCCTTCAGCATGTTAATGGGACCTCTGTTCTTTGTCCTGAGGTGTTGTTCATGAGGACCTCCGTCTACTTCTGGAGACTCACCTGCCATCCAAAAAGAAAAAAGTACTCTTGGGGGTTGGGGACCCCAAGATTGGTGCTGCTATACAGGAGGAGTTAGGGTATAACTGCCAGACTGGTGGTGTCATAGCTGAGATCCTGCGAGGTGAGATCATCTGTTAACGTTCTTGACATCTTCCAGGGGTTTCTGGGAACTTTAGGTAGGGTGCTTCTGGGAAGCCATCTGGCTTGATTGGTGCCCTTGGGTGCAGGAGCTAGCTCAGCCTTCCCTGCTCACAGTCCTCCCTTTCTTCAGGAGTCCGACTGCACTTCCACAACCTGGTAAAGGGCCTGACTGATCTCTCTGCTTGTAAAGCTCAACTGGGCCTGGGACACAGCTATTCTCGTGCCAAAGTGAAGTTTAATGTGAACCGAGTAGATAATATGATCATCCAATCTATTAGCCTTCTGGACCAGCTAGACAAGGACATCAATACCTTCTCTATGCGTGTCAGGTAAGGTTCAGGGATGAGTCCTCAGGGCAGGCTCTTTGACCTGTGGTTTAGCAAATTTTGAATCCTGAGCTCAGGAGTGGCTCCTTTGGGTAGAGCCATGTGGGGCGGGACTAGGCCTCCTGGTGCTTACCACAGGCTGTGTTTTTTACACTGACTGTATAGATAGAGGAGGTAAAGTAATCCCACCCCATATACACCCCAGTTCAGGCCCCTTGCCTGGTCTGTATTGTGAATGGGGGAACATGTAGTTGTGGGGAGGTTGAAAATCTACTTGTTCCCATTTTCTATGGGCAACGTGTGGAGGTGTTGAGCACTGCGGCTGTAGTTGCATTTGAACCAAGACAGTTGTACCAGGAGGTGATCATGGTTCTTTACAGGGAGTGGTATGGATACCACTTTCCTGAGCTCGTGAAGATCATCAACGACAATGCTACATATTGCCGCCTTGCTCAATTCATTGGAAACCGAAGAGAACTGAATGAAGAAAAGTTGGAGAAGCTGGAGGAGCTGACAATGGATGGGGCCAAGGCTAAGGCTATTCTGGATGCCTCACGGTCCTCCATGGGTGAGTACAGAACTTAGCGGCCAAAATAAGTCATGCAGCTCTGGATACCTGGCTCTCCTTTGTTCACATTTCGTATTTTCTAGGCATGGACATATCCGCCATCGACTTGATAAACATCGAGAGCTTCTCCAGTAGAGTGGTATCTTTGTCAGAATATCGCCAGAGCCTGCATACTTACCTACGATCCAAGATGAGCCAAGTAGCCCCCAGTCTGTCGGCCCTAATTGGGGAAGCGGTGCGTCATGGGGACTAAGGAGTGTTCCCTTTCTGTACTGTTATTTCCTCGCCCAGCATGTCTCCTCTTTGGGTTTGGTGGGGAAGAGATGAAGCAGGGTCCTGTGAGTTGGTAGTGTCCACTTCTCTGATTTGTTCCTTGAATCCCTCTCCAGGTAGGTGCGCGTCTCATTGCTCATGCTGGCAGTCTCACCAACCTCGCCAAGTATCCAGCATCCACAGTGCAGATCCTTGGGGCTGAAAAGGCCCTGTTCAGGTACCAGGGAGGGCACCTGCCCATTCAGGTGCCACTTCTGGTGCCCACTGCTTGTTTGGGGATCACAGTGATGGCTGACCAGGGCTCCCTGACCTATACAGGCCTCTGCTATGGGGTGATGGCCAGTCCTGGTGTCTGAGTGGTTCCCAGGGCCCAGCAAAGGGACCAAGTTTCCAGGTCAGCGACATTGGATGCCTTCCCTCTGCCTCTGGGTGCTGTGGGTTGGCATGAGGTGGGGTAGACACCCTGCCTGGCCTGATAACTGACTTGAGACTGGGAGGGAAAGGAGCTGCCTAGGCTATTGGGTCGAAATTTCTAATCTCAAACTCTGCACTGAATATTCTTCTCCCAGAGCTCTGAAGACAAGGGGTAACACCCCAAAATACGGACTCATTTTCCACTCTACTTTCATTGGTCGAGCAGCTGCTAAGAACAAAGGGCGCATCTCCCGATATCTGGCAAACAAATGCAGTATTGCCTCCCGAATCGATTGCTTCTCTGGTATGGGTGGGCGTGTTGGCACTTGAGAAGGGGCTGTGAGAGTGGGGAGGTGGAGTACCTTGGCTTCTACAATGATGTCAGTATTTTTCGTCAACAGCAGTTCACCTAGTGAGTGTTGATATGTTGGGTCTGAGTGAAGCTGAGGGTAGAGGGATTCTGGTTGTGGGGAGTGGTTAGTTTGTCCTTTAGGGCCTGCTGACAGGCTTTGTCTATCCCTACACACACATCCAGAGGTACCCACGAGTGTATTTGGGGAGAAGCTTCGAGAGCAAGTTGAGGAGCGACTATCCTTCTATGAGACTGGAGAGATTCCACGCAAGAATCTAGATGTCATGAAGGAGGCAATGGTTCAGGTCAGTTTGGGCTTTGCTGGATGGGAGGGCAAAGCAGGTAGCTGCTTGTTGGACATGATGAACTATCTTAGCCTGACTTTGTGGCGTGGAGGCAAAAAAACTGATTTAATGAGCCTGATCCAATAAAGCCAGAAAGGAAGTCTGGAGAGCCAGATGTCTTCAGAGCCTTTTCAGTACTTTTCTTTGGCCAGGCAGAGGAAGCGGCTGCTGAGATTACTAGGAAGCTGGAGAAACAAGAGAAGAAACGCTTGAAGAAGGAAAAGAAACGGCTGGCTGCGATGGCCCTCGCATCCCCAGAAAACAGCAGTAGCACACCAGAGGAGTGGGAGGTCAGTAGGCAGGTTGGCCCTGGGTGAAGGGCCTAGGCTGTGGGATTCTCAGCAGGACAAAAGGATGTGCTGCATCCAGCCGTCATGTCCTATCCAGGCTTCTGGAGTGAATTGAGGATGTGCAACATCTTAAACCACCTCTTGATTCTGTAGGAAGGAGGTAGGAGCTGAGAGAACTTGCTCAAGAGCCCAGAGAGCTGGTTGTAGCACAACCCTTTTTCCCCGGGCAAGTGTGTTCTGTCCTCGGCTGCTTCCCAAGAGTCCTCAACTGGGGGTAGTATAAATCCCCACTCTACTTGTTCATGTGTCCAGATGTGGTAGCTCTTCACAGTGGGGATGGGGCGATGTGCTAGGCCAGAATCCTCTTCCCTGTACTTTTCACAGTGTTTGACTTGTCATATAGTGGATTTGGCATGGTGACCAGCCACACCAAATTGTGGCCGGCCTGGTGGGCTTCTTGGGTTAATGAGCTTAGATGAACTTACATGTTCTACCCATTAGGTGGGAGTCACGTGTGGGATGGATTTCCAGAGTTACAGCCATAAGCATCACAGATTTTTCCCAACTACTGGGTCATTTTAGACAGCATTTCCGCCAGCCTTTCTGCCCTGGCAACTTAAGTTGCTAGAGTCTGAGGGAGGAGGGGAGGACTCATACAGTGGGTGATGCTGCTCTTGTGCCCTTTCTCCCTCTAGGAGACAAATGAAAGACCCAAAAAGAAGAAAAAGCAAAAACTCCAGGAGACTCCTCAGGAGAATGGAATGGAAGACACATCTGTCTCCTCCAAACCCAAGAAAAAGAAAAATTTTTCCAAGGAGGAGCTAGTTAGTAGTGATGTTGAAGAGACAGCTGGCAGTGCAAATCTTCCCAAGAGGAAGAAATCTTGCTCCAAAGAGGAACCTGTTAGTGACCAGGAAGAGGCAGAAAACAGGGTTGTCTCCAAGAAGAAGAGGAAATTCTCTTCCAAGGAGGAGCCACTCAGCAGTGGACCTGAAGAGGCCACTAGCAGCAAGAGCAATAGCTCCAAGAAAAAGAAAAAGTTGTCAAAAGTATCCCAGGAAGATTAACTGGGACATTCTCCCCTTATGGGGTGTAGCCCATGGTGACGTTTCCCACCCTATCCCCCCTATACCCCAATAAAAACCAAAAACTTGACCAAAAGAGCTGATAGACATGTTTTATTTGCCACCTTAACACAGGTGTGGGTGGGACCTAAGGGAGGGCCACAGACTGAATGACGGCCTCAGTGAAGTCGTTGCAGGTGGCATAGCCACCCATGTCAGAAGTTCGAACCTGTAGGGGAGAATTGTCATCATCCCTGTGGCCTAGGCCCCTTCCCTAATGCCCACCCCAGCCACCAACAGTCCCCTAAGGAAGCCAGCCCCAGGACAACCTAGGCTCTGCCCAGGTGAGATTGTGGTTTAGGTTTAAGGGCTCTTCTCTGGATGGTCCACTGTACTGAAGGGATGTGTAGGTAGTATGGTCCTTGTGAGGTTGGAAGGGGTAAAGGGCTCTAGCCCCCATGGGGGTGCAGATGGCCGATGACGGACTTGATGAAGTCGGTTGTGGTGCTGTAGCCGCCCATGTCTCGAGTCCGAACCTACAGCGGCCACCGGCAACAGTGGTGGGGAAGAAAAGAGAGCCCATGAAGGGAGGCAGGACAGCAATAATGGAGGCAATGGAATCCAGGACAGCTGGTGAGACCAGAAAGAAGAGACAGCAGAGATGCAAGGAGGTGGCCAGGTTGGGAAGACAGACATCCACTCCTGTTACTGAGCCACAGCCACTGTCCAAGCTACGCTGCAGCCTGGGCAGGATGGCAGACAGCACGAAGTGATCTGAGACAGGATGAAGAGGACTTTGAGGAAGTAAGAGCCAGATGGGATGAAGTAGATGGGGGAGAGGAGTACATATGGGAATGGCTTCCAGGTGGGGAAAAGGTGATACCAATGCCTCAGCCTGCTATCTCCCTCTGCTCCACTCCCCAGTACTGCTCCCTATCCCCCCACACAGAGAATTGCAATTTCTTCAATAAGACCACCCAAAAAAGGGCCAAAGAATGGAGCAGGAAAGGGAAGAGCAGATGGGAAGTAAAATG